GTTCCAAGGTCGACGCTCTAAAGTGGGCGACCTAGCTATATACGTACTAACCTCATGAATCTCAGACACGACACTCAAGCTAGATATTCCTCAACAAATGGATTTATAAGAGTGTAAATTGCATCATCACATAACATCTGTGGGGCATGAGCCTCCACTAGACTGTCAATAGCATCAACCATGAAACACTCGTTATCGTCCTCAGCATTGGTCCTAACCCAGCATTAAACAATTAAGTCTCAATTTCCTATTCCCAAAAGACACTTCCATCTCTCCAGATCTACAGTTAATGCAAGCATTTGCCGTAGCGAAAAGGTCTTCCTAAAATAATCGGTGGCATACTTCCACTGCTCGTATACTCCATGTCTAAGACAAGAAAATCCACCGGAAATATAGTCCTCAACCTTAACTAAAACGTCCCAATTAGGCCCTAGGCATTTTGACCGATCGGTCAGCTAACTGTGGTATGACTTCAGTGACTTGAGCTCACCTAAGTTAAACTGTTCATACAAGGAAGTAGGTAATAAGTTCACGCGCCCCTAAGTCTAAGAGTGCTCTATCAATCGTGACATTACCTATCACACAAGAAATATAGGAGCTCCAGGATCCTTTAACTTCGGGGGAATGTGGTTTGAGACAACCGCACTTACATTTTCCGGTAAATGTACGTCTTAGGTGTGTGAGATTTCATTTTCCTCTTTTGCGTGCACAAGCTTTGAGGAATTTGGCATAAGCAGGTACTTGCTTAATGGCATCTAAGAGGGAATGTTAATCTGACTGCTTAAACAATCATCATTTCATCCATCCTAGCACTTTTCCTAGTAGTGGGAACATTTGGGGGCTTTAAGCACTGAGGAAAGGGTGCTCTCGGTATGTACGATGCAGGGGATGGTTCATTCTCCCAACTTTTTCCTTACCGGTCTTGAACACTTAACTCAACAAGAGGCTCACTCTCACTCTCTTTGGCTTGGTCTCTACCTAGACTTTCCTCTTCTCTACCCTGGACTTTTCTCTCAGGCCTAATTAGCTCTGGGCCGCTCCGAAGAGTCACACGGCTTAGCTGTTCGGAAAACCCTCTCTGCTGAGAAGAACACTAGGGTTACCTATGACTTGACTAGGCAATTGGTCTTGTTCCCTCCTATTGACTGCTTCGGCTATTTGACCAATCTGGGTCTCTAGTCTACTAATGGATTGGGAATGGGAATGTAGAAGTTGGGTATTCTGCTCTAAATCCTGGAACCTAGCCTTATGCGGCTTTTTGTTCTGCATGGTTTGAAGCATTTGAGCCATCATTGATTCTAGTGAATAGAAACGGGAGTAGCTGCTGAACGGGAGGTAAGAACCTAGGTTGGATGGGTGGTTGGATTGAAGGTTGCTCCCTATAATTGCCTTGTTGATTGGAAGGATTTTCCTGTATGGCATGTATTAGGGACATTCTGAGGTGGTTGTGGCTTCCATGAAAAATTAGGGTGGTTACGCCACTCAGGATTGTATGTGTTCGAGTACGGATGCTCGTCTCTAGAAGCCTTGTGCAACTTGCACTTGCTCCTCAAAAGGGTCAGGGACAGGTTCCTCAACCGGAGGTCAAGAGTGGAGTGCATGGCAAAAACATCCTGATTCGCCTTCTGAGATGATTGTGTAGAGGGTTGCCCTTGTATAGATACAAACTGGTCAAATGGGGGGCCAACACTAACTTAGAACTAATGTCATTAACCGTGACACTCATATACGCCACCCTTCTTGGATGGCTGCTCGAGATAGGCATTCTAGACGCAGAAATGTGGTGCATTGAATTTTCATTAAGGTCTCGAGAGTTGCCATAACTCATTCTCGTCCTTGTGCATAAATGTTCCTCCCAAAGAGGCGTCTACCATATTCCTATGCCTCTCGGTTAGTCGTCATAGAAAATAGAAATAATTGCCACTAGGGACTGCATGATGGGGACACTTCCTAAGCATTTCCTTCAAACGTTCCCAACTCTCATAAAATCCTCGCCATCAAGTTGAGCGAAACTAGTAATGGCGTCGTGTATGCTGGTGGTTTTACCAATGGGATAATACTTTTTTAGGAATCCTTGTTGCATTTGGGTCCAAGAGGTAATGGACCCTGCTGCCAAAGAATTGAGCCACTGTTTGGCTCGATCCTAAGTGAAAATGGGAACAAAATTAAGCGCACGACATCTTCATTCACATGTTGAAGTCTAACAGTGGAGCAAACTCTAAAAATTCATCTAAGTGTTGTATGGCTCTCATTAAATTCCCATAATAATTTGGCAACAATTGGATGACACTAGTTTTGATCTCATAGTGCTGTGTCTGGACATTGGGGATATGGATACATGAGGCTGAAGTGTAGGTGGTGGGTGCGAAATGTTGGCTAAGGGGCACATATGCGGGTTCATCCTGGTCAGCCATCCTGTGCTTGTTTCTATTCTTCTTACAAGTGCATTCAATTTCAAGATTCAAGGTAATAACTCTTCGTTACAAGACCTTCTAGTTTGCATTCACCAAACAAACACCACAAAGGCTCAACAAGCAAGCGCAGCAACAATGTCAAAGAAAATTAACTAGATGCAAAACCTAAGAAACAAATTTTACTAAGCACATGAAACAAAACTAAAATAAATCTAAAATCTAACGAAACTATACTCAATGAAATTTCCAACAATAAAATGTTTAATCAAAACTAAATTATCAATGCAACCTAAAAGAATTTAACACTAAGGACAAAAAATAATCCTAGGAATAAAAGAAAAATCAAAGGTTAAGAGAATTTCACAATCGGGACGTGCAGGATCTTCAATGCTCACGACACGCTGAAGCGTTTTCCCAATTGCCATTTTCCTGCAAAACAAAAACAAACACAAATGAAACTATTCCAATGAAAATAAAATAAAACAAGTGAAAATGAAATTACGCAAACAACCTAAAAAGAAAATAATTAACTAAAAATGCAAAGAGACAACTAAACGGGACACAAATATAACAATTCACCCAAACAATAATCAAGAAAGAAAATAACACAAAAACAACAACAAAAAAACAAAACTAAAATAAACCTAGAATAAAACAATAATAACTACAAACACACAAAGTCAAAAGCACGTTGTTCCCCGGCACGGGCCAAAATTGTTTAGACGCATCGTACAGTCTAAAAATTAAACCTAAATACCGTAGTAGCGGTAAGCAGGATCGAATCACAGGGAGCAAGACTAACAACCTATGTATTTTAAGTAGCGGAAATGAAATTGGCAATGGATTAATGAAACTAAATAGACTAAATGCAATAATGAAATAGTGCAATTAAAACAATAAAAACTTTATAATAAAAAATGTTGGCGTTACGGTTTTGGTTCGAACGAGATCGACTCACACAATTCTCCTAACCTCTACGATCCCTAAACCTACAAGGCAAGGTAAATCAATGAAAGGTTTCCCGACACTAGGTATAATCTTCCTGTCTCACCCGATCACTCAAGTTCGATTGGTTAAAGACTATCATTGAACGTCGATAAACGCTACAAGGCATACCATAGTTGGTACGCGATTAACAAATACAATCTGTCAACACGTAATATCCAATCAAACAATTCACAATAAACGCAACAATAGTAGAAATTAAATTAATCCAAACACAACTCAATTACAATCGATGCGAAGTAATGTAAGCAATATTCATCATTTAATTATTCCAAACCACGTTTATCATTCAGCAAGTTCTATGAAAACATTAAATCACAATGGACAACAATATTCACAAGTTATGCCCAAATCATATTAAAGTATCGAAATCAATCATGAAACGAAAACAAATATAATCCGAAGCACAATACACCAAATGTCCTATAATGGGCTCATCCAACTAGTCGAGAGCTGATGAGGAGAGTCGTGGAGTCAATCCGATTCGCTATGCCGTAACAGACAACCGGGAGCTTAGCCGCTCATGGTGGTGATGACGGAGGCCGAAACGGTGGAAATGGAGCTGACCATGGCGGAGAGGAGGTAACCGACAGCGATATGGTGCGAAAAAGGGGCGAAAACGACCAACGGACAGCCGGAATACGAACAGCCGCGGTTCGCCGGAAAACGTTAATTTTCGGCGGGGTCTCCGAAAAACGGGGGCGGAAATAGGATCGAAGGTACCGATGGAAAGCTCTGGTGAGGGGAGTTCAGATCAGGTCCCGGAGAGGTGAGAAGTCACCGGAATGAGCAGGATCTGGCCTGGAAGATGAAGAGTCGCGACGGCTAAATCACGGATTCGGCGGTTTTCGCGGTGGCTGAAGCTAGGGAGTGTAGATCGGCTATGGGGAATGAAGATTACCTTGGGGAGCTGGAAAGTCACCGAAAAAACGGCCAAAACTGGCCGGGAAGACGAAACGACGCGGTGGAAGATGAAGCGTCGCGGTGGTGGTTGGCTACGGTGGTGATGAAGCGATGATGGTGATCTGTGGTCGAGGAAGCCGAAGAGTCGCGGAGGTAGAAGACGAAGGGTCGCCGGAGGTGGAAGACGAAGGGTCGCGGAAAACTCTATCGATGGCAGCATGTTCACGCGATCTGCACTTCTTTTTTAGTGCATATTGCAAAATTTCCGTTTAGTCCTGTACATTGAAAACGTGACAAAATCAGCCCCTTAAAACATGACATTTTACCCCCTAAACAGCATAAATGAGACAAAATCACCCTGGATCCATAAACCACAACCTAATATCAACTCATATATTTTCCAAAATCATTCCAAACACATTAGATTCATAAGAAAAAATATTAGGAAGCGATTTTCGTGAATAAATCATAAATTCTTTAATTGTCTCAATATACTTCAATTTAATCACAAATAGGGTATTTTTATCACCAAAATAGAGTCACTTTCATGACTCTAACAATCGCCATTAACAAAGTATTCTCCAATAACTGCAAGGCACGCATACTTAGTAGTCCATGTTCCAATAGTTTAAAAGGATTAGACTCTCATGGCCTCATGCTTAAACCAAAAAAGTTTTTTATACAGTTAACTATGGAGAACTCTGATCTCCCTCTCCATCTTTGCAATGTTAACAAGTTTTCAATCATCTTCAATAGGTTACATGCACTTGTGCATACCATAGCTATAGCTTTCTTAATCTACTATAGAGTTTCTTTTCTCTTTCTAGAAACTAGAGCCATACCGTTATTACCAGGGGTTCTGGTCTTTGCCTCTGAGCTACTTCTTTCAGTTATATGGCTCATTGGGCGAGGGTACCTCTGGCATCCGGTTTCTCGCACGGTGTTTCCGGAAAGATTGCCGGCAGATGATAAACTTCCGGCCATTGATGTGTTTATATGCACTGCGGATTCAGTGAAGGAGCCTACTTTAGGTGTCATGAACACTGTGTTATCAGCTATGGCCCTGGACTATCCACCAGAGAAGCTTCATGTTTATTTATCAGATGATGGGGGTTCTCCTGTAACTTTATATGGTATGAGGGAGGCCCATAAGTTTGCAAAATGGTGGCTTCCCTTTTGCAGGAAGTTCGGAATCAAGACAAGGTGCCCGCAGGCATATTTCTCTGCACCAGAGAGTGATGATAATAATTCTGATCATATTGAGTTTATGGCAGAGAAGAAGATTCTTAAGGTTTGAAGAATTTAATTATTATTTCCTGTAATTCAAAGTTTCAAGAGTCTTAATTATATGTACTTTCAAGGGAATGTATATATATGTAGTTGATAGTTTATAAGTTTCTATTTTGGTACAGGAAAAATATGAGATGTTTGAGGAAACTGTTATGAGGGCTGGAGAAGATGGAGAATTTGGGGACAGCCGAGATCACCCAACTGACATTGAGGTAAAAAATTTCTGTCATATTAATTTGGACCTACTGATTGGCCTGCAATACAGAGGGAACTGTAAGAGCCATAATTCATAAGTTCAAATTAGGCTACTTAAACTATCTAATCTAGTTGGATTTTCTACAGATAATAGAAGACATTTCGGGTGAGACTATGCCAGAAGACCATGTTAATATGCCTCTTCTTGTTTATGTTTCTCGCGAGAAAAGGCCCGATCATCTTCATCATTTCAAGGCCGGAGCCCTCAATGTTCTTGTATGTTCTCTCTGAAATCACCTCAAGATATCCGTTTATGCATACATACAAATGAAGTATTATAATGCTCAAGTTGACCCTTTTGTTTTCAGCTTCGGGTGTCTGGCGTGATAAGCAATTCTCCATACATACTAGGCCTCGACTGTGACATGTACTGCAATGACCCAACTTCAGCTAGGCAGGCCATGTGTTTCCACCTTGACCCTAAAATCTCTTCTACGTTAGCATACGTTCAGTTCCCCCAGAAGTTTTATAACATCAGTAGGCATGATATTTATGACAGTCAGTTTAGATCAGCATATAAGGTAATCAGAAAATTAAAACTTTATCAGCTTACCTATGCAAATATATGTCCAGAGCAAAAAAACTAGCAATTATTTGCTTGATCTAAGTTTGTGTTGTTTATGTATTCTGCATTGATCAAGACAATGTGGCATGGTATGGATGGGCTGAGGGGACCAGTCTTGTCTGGTACTGGCTATTATATTAAAAGGGAGTCATTTTATGGCAACTGCACCCAAAAAGGTATCTCTGTGGAATTGCCCATAGAAAATGAAACCATCAATGTTTATTAGACTTTAACTGTTTTAAAGATTGATGAAGATCAAATTTCGTGATTGGTTGAAGTTTTGATGTTAATTAACAGGTATTGGCTTTGAGGAACTTAGAAATTCTCTTGGCTCCTCCAATGTGTTCATCAAATCCCTTCAAGAAAACTACAAGCACGACAATGTCAATGATGGGAAGTTGTCCAACGCATTACTGCAAGAGACCAAAGTTGTAGCCTCCTGCACCTACGAACATCGGACAAAGTGGGGTGAAGAGGCAAGCCTATATATCATCACTAATAGGATCAAATTTTAATTAGTATTTACCAAATTATAATGGCATTACATAAGACTAATTACATCTCTCCTTTCTTTTGATATCAGGTGGGTTTTCTGTATCCAACTGTGGCCGAAGATTTCTTTACAGGGTACATTTTACACTGTAAAGGCTGGAAATCCACATTTCTTAGTCCACCTAGGCCACAGTTTTTGGGCACTTCAGCCACAAATTTGAATGACCTATTGGTTCAAGGCACCAGATGGGGCACTGGATTGATTGATGTTGCTATCTGTAGATTCTCCCCCTTGTTTTATGGACCATTAAGAATGTCTTTTCTTCAGAGCATGTGCTATGCAGAACTCTCACTTTTCCCACTTTTTTATTGCTTCCCTCTCTGGTGTTTTGCTACTATTCCCCAATTGTATCTTCTACATGGCATCCCCATCTACCCTGAGTTTTCAAGTTCATTCTTTAAGATATTTTCTTTCATTTTCATGTCGGCCATCGCTAAACATCTGCAAGAGGTGCTTGCAACAGGAGGTTCAATCGAGACATGGAGAAATGAGCAGAGGATTTGGATGACAAAGTCTGTCACATGTCATACATTTGGAAGTTTGGATGCCATACTGAAATTTCTTGGTCTGAGGAAAGCCAGTTTCGTGCCAAGCAACAAAGTTATGGACAATGAACAAGCTAAAAGATATGAAATGGGTCAACTAGATTTCCAAACATCGGCAATGTTTCTTATTCCAATGGCTACTTTAATGATCCTGTACATAGCAGCCTTGTTTGGAGGAGTTGCAAGAATTATTGCAGTGGGCAACTGGGACAAGATGTTTGTACAAGTTGTGCTCTCATTCTACATCTTCATTATCAATTTTGCAATTGTTGAAGGGATGCTTATAAGGAAGGACAAGGGACGAATTCCGCCATCAATCACTGTCATCTCCGTTTTGTTTTTCATTGTATTCTTGTTCTTGGGATCTGTTATTCTCTTGTATTAGTTAAGCACTGGCATGTAACACTAAATATTTTATGCATTTTTATATAATTAATTAATCTTCTTTAAAAGTGATTTGAATTCTTACTTATTAGTATCCTACAATACGCGATATATATCCTACAATACGATTTGATTCGGGTCACCAACAATACATATCAGAGAGTGTATCATAAATCTTTCGATACGTTAATATGTATCCTATGATACAATACGTATCTGCTCGTATCTATAAAAATATCGATACGACTTTATTAATTTGGGCTAAAGGCCTAAAAAAAAATTTCGGGTCTGATTAAGGTCACCCAACCCGCCCAAATTTATCCATTTTGCATGGAGAAAGTGAATAGGAAGATGTGTTGTCTATTTTACATGATAATAATAACACAAGTGAAGATACAGATATTGATATTGATCTTGGAAATGATATGAATGGTTGAGAGGAAATGATATAAATTCTTAATTCTGTGATTAATTTTGATTATATAATACCATAATTTAAAACCAATAATATCATAAAAATATATTAATTAATCTTGGGGATGATATTAGTTTTTAGAAAAAATTATTATTTTTTTAAAAAGGCATATTCTACGATACGATACACTACTCGATACATGATTTAAAAAATTAGGTTTTTGATACACGATACTATAAACGATTTGACAACCATGCTTCGAATTAGGATAAACTTTGTTCTTAGTAATACCATCATCTTTACGAGTTTAATGTTGAGTGAACAACTTTTTCTCATCCAAATAATGGTTTAATATCATTTTCTCACCCATATTCTATTAAAATACCATTTTACTATATACATTGATATTTCGACAACGAACAGAGAGCAAACTCAGTCCAAATTGTTGGGGCTTTCGAAGATGGGAGGTTGGTGAGTCTTTTGGTGGTGGAAAATTTGATTTTGGTGGTTTAGATTTATCGAAATTTGACTTGGGAGGAGTGATTACGCAAACCCTAATTATTCAATTGCCAGCGATTAACGGGGTCGGCAGGAGTAAGGTTTGAGGGGTTTTGGTGAGTGATGACCGGAGAAGAGAATGATGGTAGTGTGGAGTCGCAACGGTGCCGGAATCGGAATCGGAATCGGAATCGGAATCGGAATCGGAATCGGAATCGGAATCGGAACATTTTGGTGGGAAAAAGTGTTTACTCGTTTAATGTTAGAAATGTTATAATACAACACATCTAAACCTAGTAGTCATACTAAGTTTATCCATTAACACCCCTGAGGTTTAGTGCAAATCATTTAGACCCTAAGTACAAATGTTATGAATTTGGATAAACTTTATCCTTAGTACTATCATTATGTATATGAATTAAATGTTAAAATGTGAAACCACTTTCACATGTTTTACAAGCAAGTAGCTCATAAACTTCGACAAAAAGATTTGAAAAAGCATATATGATAATATATTTTGAGTAAAAATTAGTGGGAATCTCGGAAGTGGTGATAGGTTGTAATCCAAATTATGTGAAAGGATTAAAATATTTGTAATCTTTGAACATGGTAATGTGAATATAATTGAAATAATTATTGATTTGTAGGTCATGGTTATCTATAAATACCATACTTCATGTCTCCAAACACAATACATCCGAAATACACAATATATTAGTCATATTGAGTTTAAAATTAACACCCCTGAGGTTTAGTTTAAGTAACTTAGACCCAAAGATTCAAAAAAATAACACTACAAGTCCAAATATTATGAAATAGTGATACTTTTCATTTCAAAGTGTCTTTCTTTATTTGTGAGAAAAACGGGTTATGAATTCTCTAATTAATTAGAGACTGAGAGAGTTTGCAATCTTTTCTATAGTCTTAATAAAATCCATATCGTCTTCGCTTGTGCGTGTATCTCTCACTCTCATAATCAATTGAGAGCTAACCATGTAAATTTGTGTATTATTTCACTAGTTTTATCTCAGATACTTGTATCAAATTTTCATTGCTAGTAGGGTTCATCGATCTTAATTAATATATATATATATATAATCAGATAAGTCTGATGTACTATTTTTACCATAATAATTTTAATAAATAACAATTCTGTACGAACCAATGGAACATAAATAGATAACACTTTTACCGATGACTTCTCATGGTTCCACAATTCAATTGGCTATTTTATACTCAACTAAAAATGGGAAGGTATGTATCTTGTCATGATCCGGTGGGCAGCCATAAAATAAGAATATTTGTAAAATCAACATATGGGTGGTCACAGGTTGGACCCAATAGCACTACGGATATCGAAAAAATTACACTGAAATTCGTATCGACCATAAATTTTTTATAATTTTTTATAGAAAACGGCTATCTATCAAATTTGGACGATCGTTCACTCACATGGAGCCCGTTCATATTATATGGACGGGCATCCATATATAAGGGACGGGTGTCCCTATTTAAAGGACGCCCGTCCATAAATAAAATCAATAAAAAAATTTACAAAATATTATGGACGGCCATTTATAGGTTGTGGACGGCCGTCCCTAATTTTGGATAGACGTCCGTAAATACGGGACGCCCGTCCAAACTTAATTTGTTTTAAAAATAAAATAAAAAATTTGGACGTCCATCCATAAATTATGGACGGGTGTCCCTTAATTTAGATGGGCGTCCATTAGGATGGACGCCTGTCCCTTACATTTGGACGGGCGTCCATCCGTCCATACTTTTATAAAAAAAAAAAAGACCGCAATCAGTGTCTGGGCACTTGGATTTCTCGTTTGCATCAGCATGGAAGAAAAAGAGGGAGGAATGAAGACGAAGAAGAAGAAGGATCTAATATACATGCACCAGTAGACACCAAGTCATTTTTTTTAATCAGTTCCAGAAAAATAAATGAAAAAGGAAGGGAAAAAGATTTATGGACAACAGTATAGAGTAATTACCTTCCAGTGTTAGAATCCACCAACATACCCTCTGGGTTGTCTCCAACAATTATTAGAAGTTTACCATCAGGACTTAGCGAAGTATGCTGCAAAAGCACAAATAAAAAAAAGATATAAAAATTCAATTGAAAGCTTCAGCCTGAAATGCTTCATATATTGCCCAGAAAATGAAGCACAAAACCTCCATGTCAACAAAGGCACACATACTATAGGACAGATGGACTGTTGAATGTAACTAACTTACATTCACTCGCCAAGGAAAACGGAAATGTTAGAGAGTTGATACTTTTCCATATCAAAATCTTAATACCACAGTCATTATTTGAGGCAGTGAATGGACTGCACCACTGACAAGAAGATGAAGAAAAAGAGAGACACCACAGTCTTATTTGAGGCAGTGAAATGGACTGCACCACTGGCAATGAAGATGGAAGAAAAAGAGAGACACCACAGTCGTTATTTGAGGAGTGAAATGGAATGCACAATTGGCAATGAAGACGAAGAAAAAGAGAGGAGATGGGGAATGAAGACGAAGATGTTTTGCAACAGAAGAACGAGTTTTTGTTTAAATCTTTTTTTTTTTTTTATTAAAAGTATGGACGGGCGTCCATTGTACGCCCGTCCAAATGTAAGGGACGGACGGGCGTCCATTCCTAATGGACGCCCATCCAAATTAAGGGACGTCCGTCCATAATTTATGGACGGGCGTCCAAATTTTTTATTTTATTTTTTAAAACAAATTAAGTTTGGACGGGCGTCCCGTATTTGCGGACACCCGTCCAAAATTAAGGGACGATCATCCACAACCTATGAACGGCCGTCCATAACCTATGAACGGCCGTCCATAATGTTTTGCAAATTTTTTTATTGTATTTTATTTATGGACGGACGTCCTTTAAATGGGGACCCCCGTTCCTTGTATATGGACGCCCGTCCATATAATATGGATGGGTGTCCATGTAAGTGAACAGCTGTCCAAATTTGATGGACGGCTGTTCATTATAAAAAAATTCAGACGCGTATTACACATAGATCGATACAGAATTTCAATGTAATTTTTTCGGTGTCCGTAGTGTTATGGACCATATGTTATTCAAAGCCGTAGCAAATTTGAAGTGATCGGATGGGAGGAACCAAAGAAAAGAAGACAAAACCTGATCTCTACCCGCCAAGACTTATTAGGAACTCGCATCACGTTACCTGTCAGCTGCCTATTGTTTTTAGTTTTCAATCACCGTTCTTCACTTACTTTTAGTTCTTGGAGGAACAAATATATGTAAGTCTCTGCAGAATAATATTTCATTATTAACGTTCTTATGTTATTCTAATGGTTATCGTATTTGTCAAAAGAATCAATGCATATTCATTTACCTGAATTTGAAATGATATATTATCACCCAAATTTTTTGTATACTAATTAATGGAAAACCAAATGAATAGGATAAATGTTCGAGAAACTGTCTGTGTTTGCTGGGGGCAACAATTCATTGTAGGGCAGTGGCGAAAAGCATAATTTGACAATAACCATTAACTTAGCTTTGCCTGCAGTTCTACTAATCAATGGAGTCTCTCCCTCTTTATCTCTACACACCTCACAAACTATCCGCCATAATCAACCGTTTGTATACTCTCCTCCATTTCGTTGCTTTAACATCAATTATTTACTACAGACTTTCTTTCTTTCTATCAACACCAACACCACCACTTTCATTAACACACCTTTTAGTCTTTGCCTCCGAGCTGTTACTCTCTTTTCTTTGGCTCCTTCACCAAGCTTTTACATGGCGACCTGTTTCTCGTACAGTGTTCCCCGAAAGATTGCAGCAAGACAAGGAACTACCAGCTTTGGACGTATTTATATGCACTGCAGATCCCAAGAAGGAGCCATCTTTCGATGTCATGAACACTGTTTTATCGGCTATGGCCCTCGATTATCCACCAGAGAAGCTTCATGTGTATCTTTCAGATGATGGAGGTTCTTCTTTGACTTTGGTTGCTTTGAGAGAGGCTTGTGTGTTTGCCAGGTCCTGGCTTCCATTTTGTAGGAGGTTTGAAATAAAGACTAGGTGTCCCAAGGTCTTCTTTTCGAGTGGGGATGATGATCATGGTGTTACTCAGAGTGTGGAATATGAGGAAGAAAGAGAGAAAATCAAGGTTTAATTTCAATAGTTTGGGTCTATTGTTTGTTCAAGACCATTTACGAATTTTGTTTCGTTTTATGTCTTCTGTTTTGTTTTTTCATTTTTAAGGCACGTTTTAGCTTATATTTGTAGCGCATCATCTGTCCAATTTAACGCTATTGCAGAGGAAGTATGAGTTGTTTAAAGAGCGCGTTCATAGAGAAGAAGAAAAAGCAGTGATCAAAGAAACAAGCAGTCCCAAGGCTAAAAATCATCCTTCTATAGTTGAGGTATACTGTAAAAAGCTTCTTGAATCTTACTTGTAATTCATCAAAATCTGGCTTTGCCAGAGGGCGAAGGCCAGCTGATGAAGGATATGCCAGATTCGGAAAAAAAGTCATACGTTGTGTTAATACTTATAACTATTTCAATTCCATAACCATGAAATTCTTTGACATCTTTTCTACTTCAGGTGGTACATGATAGTTCAGATGACGTGGTGGGTTCTGACCAAGTTCAGATGCCTCTTCTTGTGTACGTCTCTCGTGAGAAAAAGCCACCTCATCCACACCATTTCAAAGCTGGAGCACTTAATGTTCTTGTATATACCCAGTCTCTCTTGCTTCTTTTTCTTTTCATTTTCTCTCATATCTGTGCTCGGTCACTAATACACATGAAGTTTAATTTATCAGTTGTACATTTGTTTCAGCTAAGGGTTTCCAGCATTCTCAGCAACTCCTCTTACATACTAATACTAGATTGTGACATGTACTGCAATGATTCAACATCTGCTAGGCAAGCAATGTGTTTCCACCTTGATCCAAAAATCTCACCGTCCCTGGCTTTTGTTCAATTCCCTCAAAAATTCCACAATATCAGTAAGACTGACATCTATGATAGCCAGCTCAGGATTACATTCATGGTACGTTAATGATGAAAGTGAAATCTTATACTAATTTGTCCATTAATATGGATGCACCACCTCATGGTTCCCAGACTATGAATTTTGATGTGGGTTGCAGTAATTTTGCTGAACCCTTTCATGTGGAGAGGTACTACTACCATTAAGTCTTTGATGTTGTTTCAGACAAGGTGGCCAGGTATCGATGGAATTCAGGGACCGATGTTGTCCGGTACTGGCTATTACATGAAGAGAGAAGCATTATATGGGAAATTTTTGCAGAAGGGTAGGTTCATTATCCTAATCAACTAAAATTTTATTCTGACTACTTCAAATGGAACTAGCATTCCAAATGCGAATGGAGATTATTTGGATAAAGTAATGATATGCTGCAAGCTCTATCTTCTAAAGTGCATTTCAGCATATCTAATTTTTTTTAACCATGTCATTACCGATTGAGTAGCTTCTTAGATTTTTCTGCAAATTCCAATAGGAACAGAGTAGGGTATGAGTTATGTGCCATTCAATTCCTATAGCAACTCTACTTCTCTACCTTAGATAACATATCTGCTGCAGAAGGAATCTGCAAGATTCGATTAACCTGTTTTCTATTTTGACCAAAAATATTGTTAGAAAAACAGAAAAATGTTAAATGGCTAATCGCATACAATAGCACCTGATTCATCTTGATACAAATGATAGAATTTGAAAATGTTGTCTTTGTCTTGGTTGTGAATTTAGCCATCCAGCTATAAGTTGCTTCGTTTTGATTCAGATCTATTTGGTCTCAAACAAGCTTTTGGTCCTTCAAATGAACTCATCATGTCACTTCAGCATAACAAACAACATAACATCATTGACAGAGGGACCTCGTCGAGCATACTACAAGAGGAAGCCCAATTTTTAGCCTCTTGCACCTATGAAAAAGAGACTCTATGGGGTAAACAGGCAAGTAATCTCAGGCCAACATCAGCTTCCAATTTAGTATACATATAGATGTTTTATTATGTCATTAAATCACCTTTCTTTTTGGCTTGAAACCAGATAGGATTCTTGTACAACTCTATGTTAGAAGATTACTTTACCGGATTCATCTTGCATTGCAAAGGGTGGAATTCTGTTTTCTGTAATCCATCTCGGCCAGCATTCTTAGGCACTGCTACCACAAAGTTGAATGACACATTAGTTCAGGGTACAAGATGGAATTGCGGTTTGCTTGAAGTTACCTTCTCAAAGTTCTGCCCTCTTGTTTATGGGCTATCAAGAATGTCTGTGCTTCAAACCATGTGTTATGCCTACTACTCACTCCAGCCCCTCTATTCATTGCCCTTGTGGTGTTTTGCTACTCTGCCCCAGCTATGTCTCTTGAATGGCATTCCACTATACCCCAAGGTAACCATGTTCAACCTGATTGTTATGGCTATTTTGAAGTCTTATTCTCAACGAATGTGAATAAAATTACTAAATGCAGGCTAATAGTTGGCCGCATTCATGGCAGAATCTGTGAAATTTCCCCATTTGAGTTGCAAATTTCAACCAGTCCTTCATATGCAAACTTTCAGTTGCATTTTCTCTTCTATGCAGGCTTCAAGTCCACGGTTTATGATCCTTACATCTGTCTTCATATTTTCCCAACTGAAAAATGTAGAGGAGGTTCTGCTCACAGGAGGTTCAGTTCTGGCGTGGTGGAATGAACAGCGGATGTGGATGATAAAATCAGTCACTGCATATACCTATGGAACTTTCGATGCTATCTTGAAATGTTTAGGCATGAGACAACCAAATTTCTTACCTACCAATAAAGTTTCTGATAATGATGAAGTCACTCTATACCAATTGGGTAAATTCAACTTCCAAACCTCAACCAACTTGCTTGCTCCTATAGTTACTTTGGTCGTATTGAACATCATCGCTTTTGCCGGAGGATTTGCCAGAATGATAATTTCAGGGAGTTGGAATGAGCTGCTGGGTCAAGTTTTCCTCTCATTTTACATCTTATGGGTGAATTACCCTATAATTGAAGGGGTGATGTTGAGGAAGGATAAAGGGCGAGTTCCTCCTTCTGTTGGCCTATTATCTCTTGTTCTCTCCATCATTTTTTTGAGCTTGGGTTCCATGGTTCTCAGGTTTCAAGCTGGAATTCCAGGCATCTATAACCGTAATACTAATTCATAAAGAGAGATTCAGAATATGTGGCATTGAATTTGCATTTTGCACCCATGTCTCCTTTAATCTTAGCCGCAGGGCTTGGTGACTAATAGTCTTGTTCAGGTGCCCCGTTTCACCATTCAGGATTGAATTGAAACACTCTAGTACTTACGAGCTTGCGAGAAAAAAGTTGCATGATTCTATTCTTTGGCTTATTTCTTCTGTATCATTCGTACCCGCTGTGCTTGGAAACATAACAGGGTTCATATCATGTGACAAAATAAAATCACATTTGGGCAAGACGAGTACAATGTCTGGCCCTGTGGAAACTGGAAAGCTAATACATCCAGATAACTGCCATTTCAATAGTCAATTTTCCTTGTACAACTTCACGGGCTGCTATATATGTAACTATATAACGAGAATAAATTACTCTTGGGCATGAACTGGTGGTCTGCTTTGGCCATTTTAGTTTGTTTATGTTAGAGTTGGACTCCCGTCTCCATCAGCATTGCAACATCTTGCTATTATACGCGTCCTCAATCAATCCCATAATTAAACTTGAGGTTCCATACATTGCTTAGATAGCTCCAGCTAATATAGGGCTTAAACTCAGGACTACGCTATATGGAATTTGACCAAAACGAACAGGTTTAAGTTGCTGTGAGAGCAGAGTAATTGATAAATTAATTTCTCCACTTAATTATTCCTTCTTTTATCACCAGATAAGTTGATACTTTGCTCCACAAGTTATTCCTTTTCTAGTAAGTTTCTTAGAAAAAAATCAAAAACTATACGGAAATTGACCAAAACGAACAAGTAAACAAGGATCTAGCCATTGGAGGTCTTATCCGATAGATAGTTTCAGGGTCTCGGAGAATTAGTTAAGGTGTCCGTAAACTGATCCCGATACCTCCGGTCATTGAAAAAGAAAAGGGGGATCTTTTCAAAAACTCAAAATGAACAATTTCACTGATACTAACCAAGTAACCATAGTAATTAAAAATTAGGGTATCTGGTAATCAGAGTTCAAACCATTTCATTATCAAAGCATATTGACAATTAAACAATTACTGCATTGATCTGAAGAGGCGTTTTACTAAATGAATATGGGATGTGCCAGGCTGTAACAGAATAACTAACCCAAATTCCCTTGTTGTACAATGCTGTAAACCTGAACCGCCCCTCCCAACATTAAAAGCACTTAAAATTCACATGCATCGTCTCACAATCTAAAAGATCGTATCACCGCTATAACAGTCTCTTTCCCTTTCAAACCTCACAAGAAAACCGCCCAAAACCCTACTTTTTTTTTTTTTCTTTTCCCTTACTTCTTCAAGATTGTTCTACTCGCCTTCAACTTCATAACAACAATTCTCCAATTCTCACAAAAACATTAAGCGTTACTCATGGCTACTCGAGATCATGAACCAGAAGAAAGCAGTAAAAAAATTCAATACCCACTTGACGCAAAGGCCTATAAGATTCTTGATGAAATCGGCGTTGGTGTTAGTGCTGTTGTTTACAAAGCTATATGTGTCCCCATGGACTCAATTCTTGTGGCAATCAAGGCCATTGATCTTGATCAATCTCGGGCCGATCTTGAAAATGTTCGACGTGAAACCAAGACCATGTCTCTTATCTCCCATCCGAATGTTCTGAGGGCCCACTGTTCTTTCAACGTCGACTGCCGTTTATGGGTTGTTATGCCCTTCATGTCTTGTGGCTCTTTACAGTCGATAATATCTTCATCTTTTCCTGATGGATTACCAGAGCCATGCATTGCAATAGTTCTTAAAGAAACCCTGAACGCTTTGTCCTATCTTCACAACCAAGGCCACTTACATAGAGATGTAAAGGCCGGTAACATTCTTATTGACTCTGACGGTTCCGTTAAGCTTGCGGACTTCGGCGTCTCGGCTTCTATTTACGAGACGAATACTGCCCCCGGGTGGGGCCAATCAACTTCATCGTCGCCGTTGATGCTTACTGATGTGGCGGGAACACCGTACTGGATGGCACCGGAGGTGATACACTCGCATAATGGGTACAGTTTGAAGGCTGATATCTGGTCTTTTGGTATAACTGCGCTTGAACTTGCTCATGGTAGGCCTCCTCTCTCTCATCTCCCTCCTTCTAAATCATTGCTCATGAAGATAACCAAGCGCTTCCGATTCTCTGATTATGAGAAAACCAACAAGAATTTCAAGAGCAAGAAGTTCTCTAAGGCTTTTAAAGATATGGTCGCTTCTTGTCTTCATCAAGATCCGTCAAATAGACCCTCCGCAGAGAAGCTTTTGAAGCATGTTTTTTTCAAGAACTGCAAGGGTACAGATTTTCTCGTAAAAAACTTGTTGCATGGGCTTCCTAGCGTAGAAGAAAGGTTCAAAGAAGGCAAGAATTCTCACAAGAATGGTAGTGATGGGGAAGATACTGGGAGTGAGTTAGTGAAACAAAGAAGGATTAGTGGGTGGAACTTTAATGAAGAAGGATTCCAGATGGAACCGGTGTTCCCAACTGAAGCCAAAGACGACACCGTTGTGAAGCAAGTGCGGTTTGGTGGTGAAACCATCATTCCTGATAACAAATCAAGTGGGTCGGATAACTCGGGTCAGTGGAACTTGAGTTCACCAAAGCAAGATGGAGAGGAGGCCCAAGTGGTAACTCAGGGAGAAAGTGAAGGTGACAACAGGGAACTCACTGCTAGCGCGAGTGAGAGTATGGGAGGAAGCGGTGGTGATGGTGGTGAAGTTGACAGAGAAGCCATGGTTGGGGGGTTGGTGGCGCTAAGGAGAAGCTTGGATGAGCAGAGGCAACAGGTGTCTAACATGATTGTTCTGTTGGGTGGGGAAATGAGCAGAGAGGATCAGTTGGTGCAACTTAATGATAGGCTGAGAATGGAGTTGGAGGCTGAGAAGCAGAAGAACTTTGAATTGGAGATGGAATTGGAGTTTCTCAAGCTTCAGATTTCTGGTGCATATAATAGTGGAGGTACTGATTGATGAAGTATTTTCCGTTTTTTGTCAAATAAGTGTTTTACAGTTTTAGTATTACGAGAAAACTAGGCATTTGTGTCATTATTTGGTGTGCTTATTTGTACTCTTGCCAATATTTGCTGTTGAATGGTTAGACATTTCTTATGCCAATATTTGGGTCGTGTTGTTATGTCAAATTTGATTACATCACTTAGAACTGCTCTGTTTGCCCAATGCTTATCTCTCTCTCTGTTAATTTCTTCCTTACATTATTAGGTCAGTTGCTTAAAATGTATGTGATGAAATTGGCAGTCGTTCTCCTCCTTTTGTGATTCTGTGGCTTTTGTGTTGGTGACTTGCATGGTGTAGGAGATTTGTTATAAACTGTTGGACTGGGTTTGGTTTTGAATGATGGGTCAAAAAAAACTGTTATTTGCTAAATAATCTCTACTGATTCATGAATAGATTCGAATGTAGTAAATAATCAAAATCTTTGTTCTGAATTATCATATTGTAAGCCAATTCAAGAGTATCTGTGGACTCGGCTCTGTTACACGAGCCTTGTGACGAAGGTGACAGAGAGACTTTGAGTAGGACTTAACTGTAGCGAATAGGATCCATTTTGGGCCACACTGGGCCTGTGATTTAAAGTTTCAAACCTTGAACTTCTGAAACAAAAACTGGGTTTTAACTCAGGCTTTTGCGGAGAAGAACCAGCCCATGATTTTACATTGTGGCAGCAGGGATTCTTTAATCGCAGGCCTTGATAAGGGGAAAAAGGATGGGAAACTCAAAAGGCTGGACTGAGACTAGTACTAGTGGGTAGCCTGTAATGTATAGAATCATGTAACAGTGAGGTGTGAGCCCAGTCAAAAACTAAAGCTGCATGGTTCAACCAATCACAACCTTTACCGTAATTCACAATACAAAATGTTAAAACCTTACTATTACACACAACTCTGTCACTTTCACAAACCAGTGCATAATTTCACGGCAATTAAACCCAATTTGATAGTCTCCATGTGTTTTGTATAGGTTCATGGTTAGGAGAGAAAGTACTGTAGGAGGAGACTGATGGAATGTGTAAATTATCAACTAAGTAAAAAGAACCAAAGTTAAGAAAGTTGATGAGACAGCAACCAAATGGCCAAGGCTTGAAATATTAATATAATTGACAAGTAACAAAACTTCTTATTCGGTCAACAACTACAACCTCTCTTTCGTCTGTCTTTTTTGTCATACATAAACATGGAAATCATCATGCATTAAAGCAGTAGCTTAATATATCTTGATCCATGAGTGGAAGAGACGGCAACTTGTTACACTGCGGGTAAACACTGCAATTTCGGCTGTAGAACCTTATAAAATCACGGCTATATTTAGCATGGCATCGACGCAGCTAATTGGCTTCTAGTTTTTCAATAGATTTCATCTAAATGCAGCAGGATCTTTTGTCTAAATGGGTTTTCTGATCAATCTTACTCTCTTTCTCACCATAAAATGGAAATGAAAATCCGAGGTGCACTGAGATAATCCTTTCTTTGAATAATGAGGTTAATTAATCAAAGCGTTTTTCAAATCAATAAGTTGGCAGGCACTGCACTGTGACAACTATGCCTATCTACTTCTATTATTTTAGCTGCGGATCCATATGAATATGAATTTTTTTTTTTCTTCTTTTTTCTTCGTAGCAAACTTTCAGTTGCATTTTCTCTTCTATGCAGGCTTCAAGTCCACGGTTTATGATCCTTACATCTGTCTTCATATTTTCCCAACTGAAAAAGTGAGGAGTCTGCTCACAGGAGGTTCAGTTCTGGCGTGGTGGAATGAACAGCGCGATGTGGATGATAAAATCAGTCACTGCATACCTAGGGACTTTCGATGCTATCTTTGAATGTTTAGGCATGAGACAACCAAATTTCTTACCTACCAATAAAGTTTCTGATAATGATGAAGTCACTCTATACCAATGGGTAAATTAAATTCCAAACCTCAACCAACTTGCTTGCTCCTATAGTTACTTTGGTCGTATGAACATGATCGCTTTTGCCGGAGGATTTGCCAGAATGATAATTTCAGGGAGTTGGAATGAGCTGCTGGGTCAAGTTTTCCTCTCATTTTACATCTTATGGGTGAATTACCCTAATTGAAGGGGTGATGTTGAGGAAGGATAAAGGGCGAGTTCCTCCTTCTGTTGGCCTATTATCTCTGTTCTCTCCATCATTTTTTGAGCTTGGGTTCCATGGTTCTCAGGTTTCAAGCTGGAATTCCAGGCATCTATAACCGTAATACTAATTCATAAAGAGAGATTCAGAATATGTGGCATTGAATTGCATTTTGCACCCATATCTCCTTTAATCTTAGCCGCAGGGCTTGGTGACTAATAGCTTGTTCAGGTGCCCTGTTTCACCATTCAGGATTGAATGGAAACACTCTAGTACTTATGAGCTTGTGAGAAAAAAGTTGCATGTCTATTCTTTGGCTTATTTCTTCTGTATCATTGTACCCGCTGTGCTTGGAAACATAACAGGGTTCATATCATGTGACAGATAAAATACATTTGGGCAAGACGAGTACAATGTCTGGCCCTGTGGAAAGCTAATACATCGAGATAACTGCCATTTCAATAGTCAATTTTCCTTGTACAACTTCACGGGGTGCTATATATGTAACTATATAACGAGGATAAAAATACTCTTGGGCATGAACTGGTGGTCTGCTTTGGCCATTTAGTTTGTTTATGTTAGAGTTGGACTCCCGTCTCCATCAGCATTGCAACATCTTACTATTATACGCGTCCTCAATAATCCCATAATTAAACTTGAGGTTCCATACATTGCTTAGATTGCTTCAGCTAATTAGGGCTTAAACTCAGACTACGCTATATGGAATTGACCAAAACGAACAGGTTTAAGTTGCTGTGAGAGCAGAGTAATTGATAAATTAATTTCTCCACTTAATATTCCTTCTTTTATCACCAGATAAGTTGATACTTTGCTCCACAAGTTATTCCTTTCTAGTAAGTTTCTTAGAAAAAAATCAAAACTATACGGAAATTGACCAAAACGAACAAGTAAACAGGATCTAGCCATTGGAGGTCTTATCCGATAGATAGTTTCAGGGTCTCGGAGAATTAGTTAAGTCCGTAACTGATCCGATACTCCGGCATTGAAAAGAAAAGGGGGATTTTCAAAAAACTCACTGATACTAACCAAATAACCATGTAATTAAAATTAGGGTATCTGGTAATCAGAGTTCAAACCATTTCATTATCAAAGCATATTGACAATTAAACAATTACTGCATTGATCTGAAGAGGCGTTTTACGAATGAATATGGGATGTGCCAGGCTGTAACAGAATAACTAACCCAATTCCCTTGTTGTACAATGCTGTAAACCTGAACCGCCCCTCCAACATTAAAAGCACTTAAAATTCACATGCATCGGCTCACAATCTAAAAGATAGTATCCCGCTATAACAGTCTCTTCCCTTTCAAACCTCACAAGAAAACCGCCCAAAACCCTACTTTTTTTTTCTTTTCCTTACTTCTTCAAGATTGTTATTCTCGCCTTCAACTTAAACAACAATTCCCCATTCTCACCAAAACATTAAGCGTTACTCATGGCTACTCGAGATCAGAACCAGAAGAAAGCAGTAAAAAAAATTACTACCACTTGACGCAAAGGCCTATAAGATTCTTGATGAAATCGGCGTTGGTGTTAGTGCTGTTGTTTACAAAGCTATATGTGTCCCCATGGACTCAATTCTGTGGCAATCAAGGCCATTGATCTTGATCAATCTCGGGCCGATCTTGAAAATGTTCGACGTGAAACCAAGACCATGTCTCTTATCTCCCACCGAATGTTCTGAGGGCCCACTGTTCTTTCAACGTCGACTGCGTTTATGGGTTGTTATGCCCTTCATGTTTGTGGCTCTTTACAGTCGATAATATCTTCATTTTTCCTGATGGATTACCCGAGCCATGCATTGCAATAGTCTTAAAGAAACCCTAAACGCTTTGTCCTATCTTACAACCAAGGCCACTTATAGAGACGTAAAGGCCGGGAACATTCTTATTGACTCTGACGGTTCCGTTAAGCTGGCGACTTCGGCGTCTCGGCGTCTATTTACGAGACGAATACTGCCCCGGGTGGGGCCAATCAACTTCATCGTCGCCGTTGATGCTTACTGACGTGGCGGGAACACCGTACTGGATGGCACCGGAGGGATACACTCGCATAATGGGTACAGTTTGAAGGCTGATATCTGGTCTTTTGGTAAACTGCGCTTGAACTTGCTCATGGTAGGCCTCCTCTCTCTCATCTCCCTCCTTCTAAACATTGGCTGAAGAATAACCAAGCGCTGTACGCTTCTGTCTTCTTTTCGAGTGGGGATGATGATCATGGTGTTACTCAGAGTGTGGAATATGAGGAAGAAAGAGAGAAAATCAAGGTTTAATTTCAATAGTTTGGGTCTATTGTTTGTTCAAGACCATTTACGAATTTTGTTTCGTTTTATGTCTTCTGTTTTGTTTTTTCATTTTTAAGGCACGTTTTAGCTTATATTTGTAGCGCATCATCTGTCCAATTTAACGCTATTGCAGAGGAAGTATGAGTTGTTTAAAGAGCGCGTTCATAGAGAAGAAGAAAAAGCAGTGATCAAAGAAACAAGCAGTCCCAAGGCTAAAAATCATCCTTCTATAGTTGAGGTATACTGTAAAAAGCTTCTTGAATCTTACTTGTAATTCATCAAAATCTGGCTTTGCCAGAGGGCGAAGGCCAGCTGATGAAGGATATGCCAGATTCGGAAAAAAAGTCATACGTTGTGTTAATACTTATAACTATTTCAATTCCATAACCATGAAATTCTTTGACATCTTTTCTACTTCAGGTGGTACATGATAGTTCAGATGACGTGGTGGGTTCTGACCAAGTTCAGATGCCTCTTCTTGTGTACGTCTCTCGTGAGAAAAAGCCACCTCATCCACACCATTTCAAAGCTGGAGCACTTAATGTTCTTGTATATACCCAGTCTCTCTTGCTTCTTTTTCTTTTCATTTTCTCTCATATCTGTGCTCGGTCACTAATACACATGAAGTTTAATTTATCAGTTGTACATTTGTTTCAGCTAAGGGTTTCCAGCATTCTCAGCAACTCCTCTTACATACTAATACTAGATTGTGACATGTACTGCAATGATTCAACATCTGCTAGGCAAGCAATGTGTTTCCACCTTGATCCAAAAATCTCACCGTCCCTGGCTTTTGTTCAATTCCCTCAAAAATTCCACAATATCAGTAAGACTGACATCTATGATAGCCAGCTCAGGATTACATTCATGGTACGTTAATGATGAAAGTGAAATCTTATACTAATTTGTCCATTAATATGGATGCACCACCTCATGGTTCCCAGACTATGAATTTTGATGTGGGTTGCAGTAATTTTGCTGAACCCTTTCATGTGGAGAGGTACTACTACCATTAAGTCTTTGATGTTGTTTCAGACAAGGTGGCCAGGTATCGATGGAATTCAGGGACCGATGTTGTCCGGTACTGGCTATTACATGAAGAGAGAAGCATTATATGGGAAATTTTTGCAGAAGGGTAGGTTCATTATCCTAATCAACTAAAATTTTATTCTGACTACTTCAAATGGAACTAGCATTCCAAATGCGAATGGAGATTATTTGGATAAAGTAATGATATGCTGCAAGCTCTATCTTCTAAAGTGCATTTCAGCATATCTAATTTTTTTTAACCATGTCATTACCGATTGAGTAGCTTCTTAGATTTTTCTGCAAATTCCAATAGGAACAGAGTAGGGTATGAGTTATGTGCCATTCAATTCCTATAGCAACTCTACTTCTCTACCTTAGATAACATATCTGCTGCAGAAGGAATCTGCAAGATTCGATTAACCTGTTTTCTATTTTGACCAAAAATATTGTTAGAAAAACAGAAAAATGTTAAATGGCTAATCGCATACAATAGCACCTGATTCATCTTGATACAAATGATAGAATTTGAAAATGTTGTCTTTGTCTTGGTTGTGAATTTAGCCATCCAGCTATAAGTTGCTTCGTTTTGATTCAGATCTATTTGGTCTCAAACAAGCTTTTGGTCCTTCAAATGAACTCATCATGTCACTTCAGCATAACAAACAACATAACATCATTGACAGAGGGACCTCGTCGAGCATACTACAAGAGGAAGCCCAATTTTTAGCCTCTTGCACCTATGAAAAAGAGACTCTATGGGGTAAACAGGCAAGTAATCTCAGGCCAACATCAGCTTCCAATTTAGTATACATATAGATGTTTTATTATGTCATTAAATCACCTTTCTTTTTGGCTTGAAACCAGATAGGATTCTTGTACAACTCTATGTTAGAAGATTACTTTACCGGATTCATCTTGCATTGCAAAGGGTGGAATTCTGTTTTCTGTAATCCATCTCGGCCAGCATTCTTAGGCACTGCTACCACAAAGTTGAATGACACATTAGTTCAGGGTACAAGATGGAATTGCGGTTTGCTTGAAGTTACCTTCTCAAAGTTCTGCCCTCTTGTTTATGGGCTATCAAGAATGTCTGTGCTTCAAACCATGTGTTATGCCTACTACTCACTCCAGCCCCTCTATTCATTGCCCTTGTGGTGTTTTGCTACTCTGCCCCAGCTATGTCTCTTGAATGGCATTCCACTATACCCCAAGGTAACCATGTTCAACCTGATTGTTATGGCTATTTTGAAGTCTTATTCTCAACGAATGTGAATAAAATTACTAAATGCAGGCTAATAGTTGGCCGCATTCATGGCAGAATCTGTGAAATTTCCCCATTTGAGTTGCAAATTTCAACCAGTCCTTCATATGCAAACTTTCAGTTGCATTTTCTCTTCTATGCAGGCTTCAAGTCCACGGTTTATGATCCTTACATCTGTCTTCATATTTTCCCAACTGAAAAATGTAGAGGAGGTTCTGCTCACAGGAGGTTCAGTTCTGGCGTGGTGGAATGAACAGCGGATGTGGATGATAAAATCAGTCACTGCATATACCTATGGAACTTTCGATGCTATCTTGAAATGTTTAGGCATGAGACAACCAAATTTCTTACCTACCAATAAAGTTTCTGATAATGATGAAGTCACTCTATACCAATTGGGTAAATTCAACTTCCAAACCTCAACCAACTTGCTTGCTCCTATAGTTACTTTGGTCGTATTGAACATCATCGCTTTTGCCGGAGGATTTGCCAGAATGATAATTTCAGGGAGTTGGAATGAGCTGCTGGGTCAAGTTTTCCTCTCATTTTACATCTTATGGGTGAATTACCCTATAATTGAAGGGGTGATGTTGAGGAAGGATAAAGGGCGAGTTCCTCCTTCTGTTGGCCTATTATCTCTTGTTCTCTCCATCATTTTTTTGAGCTTGGGTTCCATGGTTCTCAGGTTTCAAGCTGGAATTCCAGGCATCTATAACCGTAATACTAATTCATAAAGAGAGATTCAGAATATGTGGCATTGAATTTGCATTTTGCACCCATGTCTCCTTTAATCTTAGCCGCAGGGCTTGGTGACTAATAGTCTTGTTCAGGTGCCCCGTTTCACCATTCAGGATTGAATTGAAACACTCTAGTACTTACGAGCTTGCGAGAAAAAAGTTGCATGATTCTATTCTTTGGCTTATTTCTTCTGTATCATTCGTACCCGCTGTGCTTGGAAACATAACAGGGTTCATATCATGTGACAAAATAAAATCACATTTGGGCAAGACGAGTACAATGTCTGGCCCTGTGGAAACTGGAAAGCTAATACATCCAGATAACTGCCATTTCAATAGTCAATTTTCCTTGTACAACTTCACGGGCTGCTATATATGTAACTATATAACGAGAATAAATTACTCTTGGGCATGAACTGGTGGTCTGCTTTGGCCATTTTAGTTTGTTTATGTTAGAGTTGGACTCCCGTCTCCATCAGCATTGCAACATCTTGCTATTATACGCGTCCTCAATCAATCCCATAATTAAACTTGAGGTTCCATACATTGCTTAGATAGCTCCAGCTAATATAGGGCTTAAACTCAGGACTACGCTATATGGAATTTGACCAAAACGAACAGGTTTAAGTTGCTGTGAGAGCAGAGTAATTGATAAATTAATTTCTCCACTTAATTATTCCTTCTTTTATCACCAGATAAGTTGATACTTTGCTCCACAAGTTATTCCTTTTCTAGTAAGTTTCTTAGAAAAAAATCAAAAACTATACGGAAATTGACCAAAACGAACAAGTAAACAAGGATCTAGCCATTGGAGGTCTTATCCGATAGATAGTTTCAGGGTCTCGGAGAATTAGTTAAGGTGTCCGTAAACTGATCCCGATACCTCCGGTCATTGAAAAAGAAAAGGGGGATCTTTTCAAAAACTCAAAATGAACAATTTCACTGATACTAACCAAGTAACCATAGTAATTAAAAATTAGGGTATCTGGTAATCAGAGTTCAAACCATTTCATTATCAAAGCATATTGACAATTAAACAATTACTGCATTGATCTGAAGAGGCGTTTTACTAAATGAATATGGGATGTGCCAGGCTGTAACAGAATAACTAACCCAAATTCCCTTGTTGTACAATGCTGTAAACCTGAACCGCCCCTCCCAACATTAAAAGCACTTAAAATTCACATGCATCGTCTCACAATCTAAAAGATCGTATCACCGCTATAACAGTCTCTTTCCCTTTCAAACCTCACAAGAAAACCGCCCAAAACCCTACTTTTTTTTTTTTTCTTTTCCCTTACTTCTTCAAGATTGTTCTACTCGCCTTCAACTTCATAACAACAATTCTCCAATTCTCACAAAAACATTAAGCGTTACTCATGGCTACTCGAGATCATGAACCAGAAGAAAGCAGTAAAAAAATTCAATACCCACTTGACGCAAAGGCCTATAAGATTCTTGATGAAATCGGCGTTGGTGTTAGTGCTGTTGTTTACAAAGCTATATGTGTCCCCATGGACTCAATTCTTGTGGCAATCAAGGCCATTGATCTTGATCAATCTCGGGCCGATCTTGAAAATGTTCGACGTGAAACCAAGACCATGTCTCTTATCTCCCATCCGAATGTTCTGAGGGCCCACTGTTCTTTCAACGTCGACTGCCGTTTATGGGTTGTTATGCCCTTCATGTCTTGTGGCTCTTTACAGTCGATAATATCTTCATCTTTTCCTGATGGATTACCAGAGCCATGCATTGCAATAGTTCTTAAAGAAACCCTGAACGCTTTGTCCTATCTTCACAACCAAGGCCACTTACATAGAGATGTAAAGGCCGGTAACATTCTTATTGACTCTGACGGTTCCGTTAAGCTTGCGGACTTCGGCGTCTCGGCTTCTATTTACGAGACGAATACTGCCCCCGGGTGGGGCCAATCAACTTCATCGTCGCCGTTGATGCTTACTGATGTGGCGGGAACACCGTACTGGATGGCACCGGAGGTGATACACTCGCATAATGGGTACAGTTTGAAGGCTGATATCTGGTCTTTTGGTATAACTGCGCTTGAACTTGCTCATGGTAGGCCTCCTCTCTCTCATCTCCCTCCTTCTAAATCATTGCTCATGAAGATAACCAAGCGCTTCCGATTCTCTGATTATGAGAAAACCAACAAGAATTTCAAGAGCAAGAAGTTCTCTAAGGCTTTTAAAGATATGGTCGCTTCTTGTCTTCATCAAGATCCGTCAAATAGACCCTCCGCAGAGAAGCTTTTGAAGCATGTTTTTTTCAAGAACTGCAAGGGTACAGATTTTCTCGTAAAAAACTTGTTGCATGGGCTTCCTAGCGTAGAAGAAAGGTTCAAAGAAGGCAAGAATTCTCACAAGAATGGTAGTGATGGGGAAGATACTGGGAGTGAGTTAGTGAAACAAAGAAGGATTAGTGGGTGGAACTTTAATGAAGAAGGATTCCAGATGGAACCGGTGTTCCCAACTGAAGCCAAAGACGACACCGTTGTGAAGCAAGTGCGGTTTGGTGGTGAAACCATCATTCCTGATAACAAATCAAGTGGGTCGGATAACTCGGGTCAGTGGAACTTGAGTTCACCAAAGCAAGATGGAGAGGAGGCCCAAGTGGTAACTCAGGGAGAAAGTGAAGGTGACAACAGGGAACTCACTGCTAGCGCGAGTGAGAGTATGGGAGGAAGCGGTGGTGATGGTGGTGAAGTTGACAGAGAAGCCATGGTTGGGGGGTTGGTGGCGCTAAGGAGAAGCTTGGATGAGCAGAGGCAACAGGTGTCTAACATGATTGTTCTGTTGGGTGGGGAAATGAGCAGAGAGGATCAGTTGGTGCAACTTAATGATAGGCTGAGAATGGAGTTGGAGGCTGAGAAGCAGAAGAACTTTGAATTGGAGATGGAATTGGAGTTTCTCAAGCTTCAGATTTCTGGTGCATATAATAGTGGAGGTACTGATTGATGAAGTATTTTCCGTTTTTTGTCAAATAAGTGTTTTACAGTTTTAGTATTACGAGAAAACTAGGCATTTGTGTCATTATTTGGTGTGCTTATTTGTACTCTTGCCAATATTTGCTGTTGAATGGTTAGACATTTCTTATGCCAATATTTGGGTCGTGTTGTTATGTCAAATTTGATTACATCACTTAGAACTGCTCTGTTTGCCCAATGCTTATCTCTCTCTCTGTTAATTTCTTCCTTACATTATTAGGTCAGTTGCTTAAAATGTATGTGATGAAATTGGCAGTCGTTCTCCTCCTTTTGTGATTCTGTGGCTTTTGTGTTGGTGACTTGCATGGTGTAGGAGATTTGTTATAAACTGTTGGACTGGGTTTGGTTTTGAATGATGGGTCAAAAAAAACTGTTATTTGCTAAATAATCTCTACTGATTCATGAATAGATTCGAATGTAGTAAATAATCAAAATCTTTGTTCTGAATTATCATATTGTAAGCCAATTCAAGAGTATCTGTGGACTCGGCTCTGTTACACGAGCCTTGTGACGAAGGTGACAGAGAGACTTTGAGTAGGACTTAACTGTAGCGAATAGGATCCATTTTGGGCCACACTGGGCCTGTGATTTAAAGTTTCAAACCTTGAACTTCTGAAACAAAAACTGGGTTTTAACTCAGGCTTTTGCGGAGAAGAACCAGCCCATGATTTTACATTGTGGCAGCAGGGATTCTTTAATCGCAGGCCTTGATAAGGGGAAAAAGGATGGGAAACTCAAAAGGCTGGACTGAGACTAGTACTAGTGGGTAGCCTGTAATGTATAGAATCATGTAACAGTGAGGTGTGAGCCCAGTCAAAAACTAAAGCTGCATGGTTCAACCAATCACAACCTTTACCGTAATTCACAATACAAAATGTTAAAACCTTACTATTACACACAACTCTGTCACTTTCACAAACCAGTGCATAATTTCACGGCAATTAAACCCAATTTGATAGTCTCCATGTGTTTTGTATAGGTTCATGGTTAGGAGAGAAAGTACTGTAGGAGGAGACTGATGGAATGTGTAAATTATCAACTAAGTAAAAAGAACCAAAGTTAAGAAAGTTGATGAGACAGCAACCAAATGGCCAAGGCTTGAAATATTAATATAATTGACAAGTAACAAAACTTCTTATTCGGTCAACAACTACAACCTCTCTTTCGTCTGTCTTTTTTGTCATACATAAACATGGAAATCATCATGCATTAAAGCAGTAGCTTAATATATCTTGATCCATGAGTGGAAGAGACGGCAACTTGTTACACTGCGGGTAAACACTGCAATTTCGGCTGTAGAACCTTATAAAATCACGGCTATATTTAGCATGGCATCGACGCAGCTAATTGGCTTCTAGTTTTTCAATAGATTTCATCTAAATGCAGCAGGATCTTTTGTCTAAATGGGTTTTCTGATCAATCTTACTCTCTTTCTCACCATAAAATGGAAATGAAAATCCGAGGTGCACTGAGATAATCCTTTCTTTGAATAATGAGGTTAATTAATGAAAGCGTTTTTCAAATCAATAAGTTGGCAGGCACTGCACTGTGACAACTATGCCTATCTACTTCTATTATTTTAGCTGCGGATCCATATGAATATGAATTTTTTTTTTTCTTCTTTTTATTCCTTGTAAGGTTTCTTTTTTACTTGAAAACTTCCGTTGCCAATTTAAATTTATGATGTTTTAATCATCTGCATAGTTTATAATTTGGATTTCTTTTTAATAAACCTTATAGGAACAGTAGATTTCATTTGGAGAGAAGACCTCTCAGTCAGGTGAACTATAGGGTTAGGGTTTGCCAGATCAAGCGTACCCACCGTTGTACTAGATCTCTCTTAAATTTCTCATTATTATTTCGCGACCATGACATGTACCAACTATAAAACTTGAGTATGTAAAATTGTCTTAACATATACTGAGATGCAGAAATTTTTTCGTGTACTAAAGAAATCTCTTTCACAGTGATCTGTTTTGGATCTTATCTAGAATCTACAAATCTGACAATCACGATAGCAGAAATGCAAAATTTCTTTATATAGAAAGAAAAACAAGAAAAATTTATGGTGTCTCAAGAGAGTTTAATAAATTTATCAAATTCTTTTACTTGGTCAAGTGCTTTAAATTTATGCTTCAAGTGACAACGATCCACATGTACAAAAGAGTGTCAAACATATATAAAGTCATAAAGCTCTCTAATAACTTCGTATCATCCCAGTATTAATCAATGTCATCGTATTTACATTAACATAATAATGAGTAATTAAGATAGTTCTTGAAATCAAGAGTTTGTGTTAATTCGTGCATGCATTTCCATTGATTTCACTATCTAGAACTTAGATTCATTAATTTAAACTGATATGAACAGTAGTAGTGTGGCTGCTGCGCAGCTCATTTGTGAGTTTCTTAACAATTGTAGTTCTATTACCGGTTGTCCAGTGATATGGATAGATGAGCTTAATGATAACCTGTAATAACTTTAATTCCCTCTTCATTATCAATGAACTTTTATGGTACATGATACAAAGGAATTACATTTATTTTCCATTAATTTCAGAGGTGATAAGGAAAGTTTTAAGCTCCCACGAGGTCTATTAAGAATTGGGTGATGAGAATGAAGTGTTGTGTCTTCTCTCTCCTATAACTTTCCCCTGAATTTAACCAATGATATTAAGACAAGTTTTTAAGCTCATTTAACCTTGCCCATCTACCTCTACTTTTCAGTTTGTTTAGAAATGTTATAAAAGTTACAAGTAAAAGAACATCCGCTACATATCTGTTTAGATTTGGCAAAAAGGCGTGTAACCTGATGGCAGAAGACGAGGCTTTGGATATAGTAAGTAGTGACCAACGATAAAGGATATTGCAGAACTATTCTCCAATGAGATTTTCACCTTCTGGTTTAGAATTTTATGACCTCTCCTGCAACCTTAATCACTACAGAGAGACAACCAAAACCCGACTTTTTATATCATCTAACTTATCTGATATTTTCCAGGTCAGTCACTTCTCTCTCTCTCTCTCTCTCTCTCTCTCTCCGTTTTCTAAGATGGGCTTTGTTTCTTCTTCTTATCTTTTTGTGTTCCTTCAATATAATTAATCATACTATGCAAACAAGCTAGACTGCTTTTGTATCTTTGATCTTTCCAGGTCTGACTAAAGGAAAAAGCATCCATGGAGAAGAACATTACCAGCAACAACTCTAAAGACCAGAAAAATGGCAGTAACGCCATTAGAGACTGCAACAACAACAATCAGAACTTCAGCAACGTCAAGCTTAAAGATTCGTGGAACAGCAACAGCCATAACAATGGAGAAGAATATCTTAGTGGGTTTTCATGGCCACCAAGATCTTACACATGTAGCTTCTGCAAAAGAGAATTTAGATCTGCTCAAGCTCTTGGTGGTCATATGAATGTCCATAGAAGAGACAGAGCCAGGTTGAGGCAGTCACCTCCAAGGGATGGTCAGTACCCAATTCTTAATCTTAACCTTAACCCTAACCCTAACCCTAATTTCTCTACCCCACCATTAGTTTCTCCTTCATTGACTAGCACGTTCCCTTCTGTGGTTTCTCCACCTCTTTCTTCTCTATCCTCTCCCTCTTCGGCTTCTCTAAGTAAAATGAAGAAATGGTGTATGGATGGTGCTCTAACTGGTCATCAACTAAGTCCGAAAGGCTCTGATTTAACAAAGAAAAGGACTGCAAAATCTTATTGCAGGATCAAAGAATTCAGCGGTATCACAGAAGAAGATGGGTGTAAGGTTCCAGAGAAGGCTTAGATTGTCAGGTTGGACTTGCAGATTGGTCTCATCAGTGAATCAAAGGAAGAATTAGATTTAGAGCTACGGTTGGGTTGCTCTTAGATAAATTATGCTGCTTTATCAACCCGTGTTTCTGAAGTAGGCAGCTCGCAATAGGCCCACTGCACCAGTTTTTAATCATCAATTATAAGCAGCATTTATATTTAGTTATTGAAATTAAACTCAATCCTCATGAAGCATAGAGATTTATAGGACAAGCTTCAACTAATGTAAGATTTTGCTATGTGTTTCTGATACGATCCTTCCATGAACTCCGTATCTAATTTCCACTCTTATCTGTCAGTTGTTTCCTGTTTTCTTTATATTTTGTTTGGGTATGCTTGTTCAAATCTACATATTCCATCGCACAAGGAAAAATAAATGTATTATTCTATTCTATAATATATATGTTAGACTATATATAAATGGTTTTGTTTTAAGTACTCTTGACTGTCTTGACTGGTACATGAGGAAAGAGTTTGAGGGTTCTCTCTTTTAAGTTTTAACCCCATCCAAAGAATTTCCTTATTTTTCTTGATTCTCTTCTTTGCGCTCTTGTTACTATTGGTTTTTTGTTATGAGGTTCCTCGTTAGGTTAACCGTTACTTAACAAATAACTACAAAAATAGTTTGTTCACTTAAATTTTAAACGGAAAGGTAAATTTGCACTTTCGAGTGCGTAGCTCCTTTTGTTAATATCTATATGTGCTGAGCTGTTGAAGGGAGAATATAATGAAGGTATAGGTGATTATTTGTTTGAATCACTAGAATAAATGTTAAATATTGCATGGAAATCAAACAAAAGGAAGCAAAATGACTTCCCTGACTTTTCTGATAAGTCTTTTTCCAAATATTCATCTTATATTGCGCATTATTACAATGATGATAGCAAATGTTCATTATTGGAGTCAAGTTCCAATGCAAGATTCATGGTTGTAAACTGTAAAAAGATAAAAAGAAATTGAAAATAGCCACTCATTTTCTGCCTCATCGACAATCTCAAAATTCAAAACAATCAAAACCTGCCAACTACCTATTTACTTGCTTTATTGATTCAAGTTTCAATTCATGAGTAATACTACTGTAGTGTCAAAGCCCCGGGTTGAATTTCATTTGTTTTCTATAGCGTCCAAGTCACTGTATCATTTCATTCATAAATTCATGTCTGACACAATTATACTTATATGCTTCTTCCACATTTCTTTTCGTTTACCTAGTCACTTGTATATATGTTGTTGAATGTTGATCATGACTCCATTACAATCTACAAACTGCGAGGTCTAAGCTTGTTGGTACAAGTTTAACCTGAAACCAAAAACAATTAATGAAGATATGAAAAAAAAAAAAATATATATATATATATATGAAGAATCAATGAACTGCAGTACTTAGCTATCCAGATAGTCATGCCAAGTCTAAGATTCAAATCTCTTTATAACCACCTATATGATCAAATATGGTCTTTGTTTTTCACTTTTCAAAGTTTGTACGGTTTTGTATGACTCTTTTTTTGAATCTAGGTTCGTCAAAATAATTCAGGTTTCTGGATTATCAAAACATATATATATTCGATACCATAGAAGTTTCTTCATATATACGTGAGATAAATTAGAATTTAATGGGAATTTTTTTATTATCAACATATATATACATATAATTACATGTTAAGAAACCGCTTGATTAAAAAATTATAGTATATAGTCTAGCATGAAAAATGAAGTGAGTGAAATTGAAAAATGAAATGAAAAAGTTACCAAAGAAAGGAGGGAGAGAAATAAATGTAAAGCAAATGCAGAAAGTGAAATAAGTTAAAGAAAAAAAAGAAAAACCAAGATAGCATGGATGGCATTGTCAATGATATGAGAAACAGTAGGAAGTAGTAGTGAAGACTGAAGAGAAGAGAAGAGAGAGGAAGATAAGTAATTCATTGGATGCTTTTTTTCACAAAATCTGATGAGTTTGCATGTTCCCGACAGAGTCTGGGTATGAAAAAGGTATGATGGCATTTATTTTCCTTAAACAGAATGAGATGTTTTTGATTTTGGTCAGTTCAATGCTTTACATTTACAGCCAATTCAGAAACCTTCCCCCAACTCTTTCCCAATCTATCACTCACCTCGCTCTCACCTTTTTCACTTACTTACAAAACCCTCTTAATTTCTCTTTTCCTTCATTAATTTTAACTTCTACCTACTTTTCTTTTCAATCAAATTTACCTTAATTCCTTCACTTATACTAGTGAGTGATTGAAATGTGAATAAATGTTGAGGGAGGAGCCCATGACCCACCATCATCTTCTTTATGATCATTTCAGATATTGAGTAATTCAAATCAACCATTTTCCATTCATCAAATAAGCCCTGCAATTTCCATTTCTATTCCTATATTTGTTCTTCTCTAACTGTGCCCCACCTTATTCAATTCTTCAAGAGTACTCTCCCACTATCCTGTCTTTTATTTTATAAAACTTTTCAATTTATGAATCAGTATCACCCTTCAAAATTACAATCAAATAATAGGTGCAGTCACATCTGAATCTGATGGTTGCTATCATCATCCATTTCAAAATGTCTTGCTATTTGGCCCATGGGATCAATGGATTAAGGCCGAAAGACATGCACCCACCCATAGTTTGCTATAAAGACAATTTGATACCTAAAAAGTTTGAAAATAGCAAACAGCCACTCTCTGTTAGAATCTGTTAGTGAATTACGTTTGAAGAAGGACACTGTGGTAATTTTGGGCCACTTGCCTCTCTTCTCTTCTTTCTTTTGATTTTCTTCACTGCTGTGCTGCCTGGAGTGCCTCCAAAGAAAGCAGCAGAATTTTCCCTCCTCTTTTGTCTTTTCTTTCTTCTTCTCTTCCTCTTTAATTTTTTCTTCTCTTTTGCAGATCTGGCCAGCCGCTTCTCCTTTTTCTTCTTTTGCGGATCTGGCCAATCGTTCGGCCATTTCTTTTCGCCGTTGAATATGAAAAACTATAACTGAGTTGCCTAGGTATTTACTCTTAATTTTTTAATTAACCTCTCTTTCATATCAGATTGTCAGAATACATCTCAAGATCAAAACTCTTTCTAGATAATTCAAAAAGGTCGCAAAAGCTTTGCATGCATAACAGTCATTCTCAGCATCCTTATTCACAACAAATCCAAAAAGCTCTTCACGCCCAAACATAAGCAAGAAACCGTTAAGCAAATCCTGTATTGAAGAGAGATATAAAAAGATGTAGTCTGTAGTTTTGAATACATGATTGAAATGATGGTGTAGACATGTACAGGCATTTAAGTGTAGTAAGAAATAGAAAGAGACAAGTGAACAAAATTTTGAAGAAAGTTTTGATTTTGCGATTCACAGACGGTGGAGAGAGGGTTCTGATATTGTAGTAAAACTAAGTTATAATGAGTTATCAGATGGTGGTGATGGAGATTAATTTGATAGTGCAGGACTTGTTGGTGGATTGGCCACTGGTGGTGGTGGAGGAGGGGAATTCGTTGGTGGAGGTGAACTCCTTGGTGTATTTGGAGGAGGCACAACAGTGATGAAAATTCGAAGAAAAGAAAAAGAAAGAAGAAATTATAGGAAAATGGCCTTCTTTTTCGGTTAAATGCGAAATTACCATATTATTCTTCTTCAAACAAAATTCACTAACAAATTCTGATGTAAAGTAACTGTTTATCATTTCCAAACTTTTTGAGTATTAAATTGTTTTTACGACAAATTATAGGTGGGTGCATGTCGTTCAGCCATGGATTAATGGGCTTTCTAACAAGCATAACATTGATAATTTAATTAATAGTTTAACATATAATAAATAAGACGTTAAGTTACAGGGTGTGGTGTGGGTTGTGATGGGGAAATAAATGGTTGAAGATATGAATTAATTAAATGGTTAGCCAAATTAATGCAAGTATAAAACACTATAATTGTCCTTAGCAAGTGGAAAGTGATAAAATTTAGACCAACTAAGAAGAAACAGAATGATGGTTTTGGCAAGCACTGAAAACGTACCTCTCAGATTCTAATTAATACACCATCCAACATCTATCAACGAACAACTCTATCAAATCTCACATCATACTAATTAACAAAGCTTTCTAATTCTATTTACTTTTTACCCTTTTAATTTTTTTACCTGTCGTCCCTTTTGTTGCCAATCATTCTAAAGCCCATAAAATAACCCAATAAGCCAGGCCCAGTTCTAAACCCATGCCGTGTTCATTGAATGGCTGATTTTGTAGGTGTACACACTCGTCTTACGTCTTTATGATATGGTTCTATATAGAAATGGCAATACTACACGGATTATCAGATATTCGGCCCGTCCCGACCTGTACAGGCTGGGGATTCACCGCTGTTTTCAGGGATGGGCATGGGAAAGGGTTCCTAGTCCAGGCCTCCAGGAAAGGGGTCCTCAATCCTGGGCCCTGACCCATTGCGTTCTGACACGAGTCTCGAAATGTCCTAATAAAAAAATGAATAATAAGTATTTTAAAGAAAATATCAAGGTGTTGAAAAGTCAGTTAATAAATATGTACAAGAAGCAAAATGACAGTCACAAAGAATTCTATACTAGATGTCTACAAATTAGATAATTTAGAATTGTCTTTTATGATGCAATGAGAACCTTGCAATCAAATCTGATGTGGCTGATTGCTCTGAAAGCTAAGTTTTGTGATTGTCTATTTATTTATATTGTTCTTAAAAAAGCAGCAGCCAACGTCGTCAAAATCCTTTTTATATGTCTTATCAAGTTTAAGCTGGGCCAATTTGGGAGTTAAATTCAAGATCAATTTTTATATATTTAACTAATCCACTCCAGCTAGCTCACTTTTGACCCTTCCCTTCCAGAATCCGGCTTGTTTACTTATATATTAATTTGGTTTAAATAAAATGAAAATCTTTTAATTTTGAGATTTTATTCAATAAAGATGAGGGATGAAATAATTAGCGGCAAAAAAGAACTTTATGAACTGGCATTAAGAATGTAATACAGCACTTACGTTGTTGTCATTTGAAGCCCTTCGATCTTGATCCATTTGTCCAACATTGTATTCATTTTATATTTATCTATAACTCCGATTACCATTGTTGATAAATTCATAATAAAACAAAACGTAGCCGATTCAATTCTTGCGCTTTGTTTGGCCGTCTTTAATCCAAAGAAGAACCAGCTAATTAAACATGCATTTAGAATTACACACTACGGATTTTGCATTGACGATAACTAGTAGTTTCTTTCTGAACCGCTTCCCCATCTTAATTCCCTCTAGCTTACTCATCTCTTATTAGGTTTTCCACTGAGTCAGTATTAAATGAAGACGGTATGGACTCTTACACATTAGAATTAACAAATGCTTTGGTCTCAAGAACTCTAGAGGTCTCATTAATTAATTATAATCTAAGAAATTATTTGTTTGAAAAGAAAAGCAAGAACCCATGTTCTACCACCAATACTTATCCGCGTAGAAGAACCATTCTTCTTTTAGCAAAAGTACTTGCAGAAACTCTGGCTAATAACTTGCTGCCTATCAAACCTATTAAACAAATTGCCAGAAATACTTTGAATCAATCAATTTTTTCCTTAGCTTTTGTATCTCAACTTAATTATTAAGTGTAAGATAGGATCACAAGCACATGCATGTATAAAAAAAAAAAAAATATGAAGCTATGAGCTAGGGATATGATATCTCTTTTTGGTGAACTGGTTAGGAATTATATTGAGCACATGTGAGAGAGATCATTTTTGTAAGCTTTCTCACTATCCCTTTACAATTCAAAAGAGCAATTTTTTCCTCAATTTGCAATTGCTATACTTCATCCTTGTGGGCTATGTTAGTATGGCAGTTGTCATTTGTAGGAAATTATATAAAATTGTACATAAGCTACTAAGAGAGACTTGCGAAGAGGGAACAAACCGCGTTAAGAAACGCCCTCGATGCATGAAAGCTACACCACCTCAAATTGTTACTATGCTATATAGAGAGAAAGAGAGAGATCATGAAGAGAACAGAGAGATATAGAGATTAAAAAAATAAAGGGTTATAAATTACTTAATATGGAACTATCACATAGCCGTCTGAAAAGAAAAGTCCAATCGGAAACGACAAATTCTGCGTCTTTCTTAATACAAGTACACAGCAAAGCCAATGTCATCTAATTGTCTTTTGGCAACAGATCTTAGAATTGCTCACTTCTCTCTCTCAAATCCAGAACCCTTTGTGTTAGACTGATAACACTTTCCAACCCATAAATTTTCGATAAATTACTGCTCTGGAATAGGGATTTTGGATATGGAATCAGCAGGGAAACAAGGAGGTTCAGATACTTCAAGCGAAGAAAATGATCGGCTTGAACAAGTCAAGGAAGACACAGCGGCTACAAAACGCTCTTATGAATGCACTTTTTGCAAGCGGGGCTTCACCAACGCTCAGGCTTTAGGAGGGCACATGAACATACATCGGAAAGATCGAGCCAAAGCCAAGCAAGTTCCTAGTTCTTCGTTTTCAACTAAGTCCATGGCTATTAATGATGACTACATGAACCCTAGATATTTTCCGCCGATTTCAGCCGTTCAAGAGGCTCAAAGGAATCCTCTCATGTATTATCCACCATCGGTATCTAGCCCTAGAATTTCACATGCTCAACAATATGATAGGGAGTTTCTTCTCCCAAGGTCGCAGTCTTTGAGCACAAATGGAGAGCTTTTGGGTGCAAATTTGAGTTTGGGAATCGGCCGTACGTGTATAGAAGATAATGAAGTAAAGACGGGAATTATGAAAGAAGATGAACTGGATTTGGAGCTTCGACTTGGTCATAATCCGTAATACGTACACTGTTCTATCCATTCTCTATATATATAATTTACTTATTAACTAGTATATAGAAAATATAGTGTACAGAGATGGAATTCATTCAACGAGTACTGTTTCATTGATTCCAACTGGGATATATAAAAGCAGTATATATATTTTCTTCCCATAGATATATAACTTCGGGAAGACTATATATATATATATTGAGAGATCATTAAAAGGAAAGCACTATATTTTGAAAGCTTGGGAGGAGAGACACTCATGGTTCAAGAATGCAGATGAGTTGTTGATCATCGAATGAAGTCCTATCAGCTTCTTGTGGTAAGTATATATATATATATATATATGTTGTATGGTGTGTTAATTATTTAAGTAGAAAGCACAAACCAGAAGGCTCTCCATGTTCCTTTGATTTTCTGTTTAAGTGTGTTAATTTATATTTAATTTAATTCGTATATAAGTTTAATAAGTTAGAGTGTCCACATTAAGAACCTTCTCGCATTATATATATTGAAGGACCTAGTATTATGTTCTTCAATTGTTTTTCCCTTGATTTTGCACTCGAATAGGATGCATCTAAAATAATATAATACATATATATTAGATGTAATTCCCTTATATGCAATATAGATAAATTTCAGTTGTAATCTCCCTTTCAAGAATGAATTTCACAAAGACAATAGGGAGAAAATGTGGGTGCAGTGTGCTTTCCATTAATTTTGCCAACAATAAACAGCAGTCAGAATATTTTAATTTCCGTCTTGAAGTAGGAATGCCATAGAAGCAAAATGGGTCACAAAAAAGACTACTATTGGCTTCCCTCTTCAAGGCCACTGATCTCTCTCTCTTCCATTAATTATCAGTATTCTCTGGACCTTCTAATTAATACATTATAGAAATAGCGTATAATTTTTTTTTTAAATATTCGTGAAGGATCAGAATTATATTCAAAACTCCAGTACTAGGGTTATTGCAAGCCAAAAATCTTGTCTGTTTCTAATATGAATATGGTGATGATCGATGCACTTTGTAACAGAAAAAGAGGGTCTACTACCAGATATCTTTAAGGTATAGGAGAATAGGGTTCATGTGGTATTTATTAGAACTAACGGGTAGTGGACAAGAACTTTCTTATTCTATTATAAATATTGACTTTTTTAGAATGAATTTTCTTAAACTCGAGTCTATATATCCTTTTGGTTGGGTTGAGTGAAATCCGATCGAGTGGCTGTTAGTCCCTGTAATTAACCTCCATTAATTAGGCAATTTAGTGATCAATTAATGTTCGAGACTTCATTAAAATTAACATGAAACCTGTTAATTTCTTCCTGGACATACTATTTTTTTGTTATTTCGTATATTCAATTAGATTGGTAAACATATCACTAGGACTATTCAGTCTTGCAATATCTGTATTGACTTAAATGGGAAACATTTAGCTTAATTCATGGTGATAATTCAAAGTAAGTGATAGTAAAATATATTTATACGTTGCATGCTACAGTACATTAATAATTCTTTATTTTGAGGCGAATTGATATAGACAATTAGGACTTATCCAGTTTGTATAAAATGTTAAATGGACTAACGCTCATGTCATTTTATAATGTTGTTGGTTTATAGTCTCTATTTTAGGGATGCTACTGCCCAGAGCATTAGTGCTTATTATAAATCAATCTCTTTATTAGCATTTTCCCAAACTTGAATGAATTTAACTCCGCGCCCATTTTCTTCTTTTTGTCCAAGATCAAAAGGCTTAAAGCTTTGTGAGATAGCATCTTAGAGTATATATGCTGACATATTGTGTAAATATGGGATGGAGTATAAAACCCTAGCCAAAAAGGGATGCATGGGTAAGGAAATTAATTGAAAAAACAATAAAGGAACAATATCAAGTTTGTCATATTTCAAATGCACCATATAATTTATCCTGTGGCGGATCCAGGAATTTCACTTTATGAGGGCAAAAAGTAAACAAAAAAAAAATTAAAACCAATCATAACCATGCTTTTTTTTTCATTAAGATGAGCTTCAACAAAAAGTCACATAATACAAATAAATATTTTCAAAAAACATAATTTTTGTAAACATAAAACAATTTTTCTATAATTGTTTTCGACGAGTTTTTATATTCTAAAAACGTTAGATAATCATCTCATCGTTAATTGTATCAAATACATCTTTCTCAATATAGATGACCTAGCAATCATTCATCGATTGATCTCCCATTTGATTGCATAACCGACTTTTCACAAGATTCATTACAGAAAAAACTCTTTCAATGGTCGCAGTCAACTGGTAAAACCAATGCAACTTTCACAAACTTATATACCAACAGATACAAAATGTCTTTTTTTAAATCGAACTAAATTCTTAATTAAATCACCAATTCCTTATAACTCAGCAAATTCATCACAAAAACGCATGTCAATAACATAATCTCAACTTAGTTCTCAAGTATCATCAATTCAAGTGTAGAAAAATTAGATGGATAAAACTAGCCAAACCCATTCTTCGTTCTCTTCTCTTTTTCCTTTTCCTTTGCTTCTTCTTCCTTTCTTCTTTATGGATTTTTCTCTCTTCTTCTTCATTTTGGGCGAACAGCCTAATTTATATACTTATAAAACATCTTCTTTGAATTATAAAACTGCTCCAAAATTCTCTTATTCTCACCATGACCCCGCCATATCAGCTTTATTGTAAAAATGCCCATATTTCTCCCCTCAATTACATGCAAACACAACAGCTCTTTTTCCTTTCATTTTCACTCCTAATAAAACTTTGAAAAACTAATAGATCCTCTTGCATAAAAATAAAAATCACAAAAAATATGAAATATATATATTAGGATTAAAAATAGGGTTTTACAAAAACAAAATCCAAACTTACCGTAGGGGTCATTCCGTTTTCAAAATCTCAAAATTCTGTAGGGGCAAATTTTAAATAAATATAAAATCTGAATTTTTTTAAAAATTGAGTGGAGACTGTAAATGTATACATATTTTTTAAATGTATACATCATTGGATCCATCATTTTTAAATGTATACATATTTTTTTTCCTTCATCAATAATCCTTAAAATGCTTTGGCGTAAAAATGATGTAATATATCCTACAAACCATGCATGCTACGTACATAGTTCATTTATTTTATTTTTTCAATAATCCTACACTTATAAAGAAATCTTAAATGGATTTTTATATAAATTGAGGTGGTAAAAAATAAATGAAATAATAAAATAAAAAGTCAAACTCATTATATTCACTTTTTTTTTTATTTTTGACCACATCACTTTATACGGAGATCTTTGTAAGAATTATTTATATGTATACATTCCTCTTTTTTTTTTTTTTTTTTTTTGACATTTATTGCAATTGTTGTATGAAATAAAGTAATTATATACATGATGCACAATCATGCACGCACCCTTTTGGTTTTGGAGCTAATGCTTGGAGCTTGGAGTGATAAATAGGACTGTTGTAATAGTCAAGTATTTGGGCTCCGTTTGGTTCATTATTGGATGTTTTTAATAATCTTTTAAAAAGTTAAATTTGGTGGGTATTACGATGTAGAATTTTAAAATTAACATAAATACCCCTATGTTTTATCATTTACTAAACACCCCTATAATAAATATTCAAAGTTAAACAAACACTTCAATCCACTCAAAAATACAACAGCGGCCACCACCGCGGAGGTTGCCGAGTTGCCTTATCGGGTTGACCGGCTCGATCTTGCAATCATGCCGATATAACGCCAGATCTTTGGCCTTGGATCTGCGGAAAGGCTAGATCGGTACACTACCGGCCAGATTCAGCCGATAGTGCCCCATTATACCAGATTCTGGCCACTTCTGACAGTGATGGTTGGAATTGGTAAATTTGGGTACTGGAGTTTTTGTCAATTTTTTAAAAAAATTGGGGGTTTTTAGTAAAATTAACAATTTAGGGGGATTAAAGGAAATTGAATAATTTAGAAAATATTTTGAAAATAGGTGAATAAAGTTAACTTTTTTTGGGAAAACTCTCTCTCTCTCTCTCTCTCTCTCTCTCTCTCTCTCTCTCTCTCTCTCTCTCTCTCTCTCTCTCTCTCTCTCTCTCTCTCTCTCTTCCTATATATATATATATATATATATATATATATATAGAGGTTATGAGACAACGAAAGAAAAAATGTTATATAAATTCACTAAACCAATGTTTTAATAACCAACTTGACGTGAAACCCGACAAATTAGCCGAGTCCTAGGTTGACTGGTTTGACCCGTCGGTCGGTCAAACCAGTGTCTAAAGGTTTGAAATCCAACAAAAGTAGCCCTAAAAATTACATATAAGTCCCTAAAATTTGAATCGTGCAAAAGCACTCCAAACGGCAAACACCACCGCTTGGCATCGGCGTCAACAACCCAGGCAAATAGGGTATGTTTCCAGTGACAATAACACTTCCTATCAACACGAAAACACTCCCCTAAGCCTCCTGACCAAAACCCATCTCACTCCTCCCTTGTTTGCCTCGTCAATCGCCGATAACAGCCTGTTGTTATAGCCAATTTATTTTTGCGATTTTCGGTCGATTCACTCACTAGAAATCACCTCCGTTGCCACATTTCCACTCATCAGCCATTCCTCTTCAAAACCCCCAATATCCCAGCCTTTAATTGTTTACCGATCATCGTTCTAATTTCTAAGGTTTTTTATGAATAGTAAAATTGGTAACCAGCCCGTTGAAGGCCTCGGGTCCCGGTTGAACCAATTCAACCAATCGAGCTAAGCCAGGTTTTAAAACACTACACTAAACCTTGAATCAGCCAACCTAGCCCCTTCCCTCCAGGTCTTCGTCCCTTGTTGAAACCAATATAGAATTGAACCAGGTTCATTACATAGGCGTTAATCTGGTAGGCGTAGTCCAATTAATTTATATCTCTAAGTACTATGAGTTATATATAATGTTATGGTTTACTTATTATAAGTTAAGTGCTCTTCTAGTTCTAGTGTAGCCTTAACATTCCGTCT